CCCCAAAACCCCAAAACCCCAAAACCCCAAAACCCCAAAACCCCAATTTTATTAATAAATATTGAAATAAATTTATATCTAAACCAACGCTTTATGTCAGTAAGATCTCTTCATAGAACAACAGAAGAATCTGTAGAGAAGCCTTTAGAGAATTATAACAGACGAGCAACAGAAATTTACAACGAAGATAACTTAAATCAGGTTTCTTCTTCAATAAAAATCAATCAGAATAAACCACATTCAAAGAGATCTCCAAAGAAGAAGGTGGTGACCAAGAGCATCATTATTGATAAAATGAAGGAGTTGAACAATAAGGCTAGAGACCAACTCAAAAGCTTGAATTCAAACTTAGAACACATTCTAGAGTCCATGAAATACAAAATAATGCACAGTAAGGCTATGTTTAAGATACCTTTAGAACAACAAATAGAGGAAAGAGAGATTATTGAAACTCCAGAACATAAACTACAAGTGGTAGAGTCAGAGATTCTACAGCTCCAGAAACAAAAGAAACAGCTTCTGATAGATCAAGAACATTGGAATAAAAGACTAAAAGATACTACTACCTATAAGCCTCAGCCAGTTGAAGAGAAGGAAAAGAATAACGAAATGCTAAAGCAAACTATCCGAGAGTTAAAATAAGGAAATAAAAGAGCAAGAGAAACTCCTCGTTTCAAAAAGCAACCCTGCCGAAGTAACTTATAAAACAAACGAGGTTAATGAAAAGTATTCTTACAGCTTAATTCTTCAGATATCTAAGAACCAGAAACAAGAACTTAAAACTTGAAACTCAAATACAAAAACAAGAGGAGAGTCTTCTTCAGCATGAAAATCTTCTCCAAAGGAACTTAGCTCATAAACTGGAAGTTCAGAAATCCATCGAAGTTCTTGAAGTTAAAATTAAGAAGAGAGCGGAATCTAGGCTCAAGAGGAAGGAAACTAATAATCCAGAAACTCCTAAGCAGGAAACAAAGGAAGAACTCTTGGTTAAAATACAAGAGATTTCTCTCAAAATCAGCCAAGATGACAAACAATTTGCACTAAAGAAATCAAAAATGAATAATAAACTAAGTGAGAAGCAGAAACAGTTGCAATACGAGAAGTTAAGGCTGAAGGAGAAGGACCAGGAAAGACGCATCGGCAATCTAAAGGTCCAAGAACTTAGAAGGATAATCAAGCAACAGAAGCTGCAGCCTCTAATTAGCAAGAAGGACAAATTTAGAGAGCAGATTAGAACAGGAAGGAATAAAAGTTTGAGAGTTAACAATACCCAACCTGCTATTAGTAAGACTATTGAGAAAGAAGATGAAAAACCTTACATTGATCAAGATAATCCAGGTATACTCAAAAAGGAAGACAGTAAAGGATCCTCCAACTTTAGGCTTGCTAAAGTTGAATGGAGATATAATGGAGAGAAACTTCATAGATCAAGTGTTGATTTAAGGGAAAAGACACCAGCTGTTGGAGCTAGGAATAATACTCCTACACATTCAAATAATAAAAATGCGAGCATCGTGATTGATAAGAGCGCAAAAACGACTGAAAAGAAGACTTTAAAAAAGAGGCCATCTTTGAAAAATATGACTCCTAAGAAAGAACTGTCTAACCTCAGGGTAGAACAAGAGAAGGTTTCGCATACAGGAGGATCTGCTTTGGATGAATTCTATCAAAATACTGATGAATAAACCCTCAATTCTTCTTCAGTTCTTTTATGCAATCTTCAGCTTCAATTTCAGAAGGAACTAGAGGGGTTTTGGGGTTTTGGGGTTTTGGGG